TTTAATTCTACCCACATACATGTTAGTATTCTAACAATGCCAAAGTCTCCTGAGAGAACCCCTATTCAGATGTCTGTAGTTCTTTATCTACAGAGTTCCGTCCTATTTAGTCCTGTTTCTTGCAAATTCTAGTCACTTCAACCACCCAGAATTCTAATCTCTATTTTCTCAACTCTGCCAGATCACTGTGGTCTGTAAAGTGCCTACAGGCTAAAAGCCAAAGTGGTCATAGGGCTCACCTCTTTTGTTTCCCTTCCCATAGAGATCACAGACCTGAACTGACTCTCTTCCAATGGCTGAAAGCGATTGTTTCATATATTTATTTGGGCTAGTTTCTAGTTTATTTTATGGGTAGGAGGCAAGGTCAGTGCCAGGAGCAGTAATATGGCTGGAAGTAGAAGTTCGCCTACGTAATTCAGACATACAGTAAAACTTGGGAAATGTATTAATTTCTTAGGGCTGCTGTAACCAAGTTCCAGAGATTAAGTGGTTTCTACAACAGAAGTGTATTGCCCCACAATGTCTTCTCTCTGTGCATTCCTGTGTTCCAATTTCCCTTTTTATAAGAATATCAGTCATATTTTTATTAAGACTCATTCTAATGACCTTACTCTACCTTGGTAAAGACTCTATTTCCCAATAACATCATATTTTGAGATACTGAGGGGAACCAATGACAAAATTTAGATTCAAATCTCAGTCCTTCTTCCCTGGATAGTATGTACTTTCCATCTACTTGCCATGCACAAGACCCACTTTAGCCTTATGGGCATTTGCATCTTTGTTTACTCTGATGTGTGCCTTTCAATTGAGACACAAATTCATATTTGTAAACTGTGAAATTAGAAAGTTGGGTTGTTTCAAAAGGAGAACAATGTATACTGTTTACCCTCAGAGATGGTATTCAATTATTTCTCTAACAATTCCATAAAAACTAATAGACCCATGACCTAAAAACACCTTCCTAAAGGAGTTCAGTTTAACCTCCATCCAATTCTACAAATGAGCACAAACACTTTTCCACAAGGTACAGGATGTTACAGGTTTTTGTTGTTGGAGATGATACTAGTGGGGTGGTAATGAGTCAGCTTGGTGGCTGTGACAGGAAAGGCTGATGGGAAATGGATCTTTTGCTGGTCAGAGCTGGAAAAGTCCTCAGAGCTCATCATTGATAATGGTGGGATATGGGCTCTAGAAGGGCAGACATAGCCAAGGGTAAGTGGTACTATGGCCAAAAGTCACATTGCCATTTTATAAGTTACTTTAAAATAGATAATATTCTGCCATCCATTTCTCATTGGTTCACCACAATAACACCATTTAAATTGTTGTTATGTACATTTATTACAGATGATAGGACTGAGGTTTTCAGAAGTCAACTTGCTTGTGCAAACATGCAGAAAACCAAAAGGAGATTCAAAATTGAAATGCAGGTTTCCAGACTTTCAATTCAACACCAACCATCCTTTTGCTTCTCTGAGTTTTAGTTGTAGGTACTTGTTTGCATAGTGATTCTGCTTTCTAGATTCACTCGACCTAGGTTCATCTTCATTTCTCTTCTAAACTGTAGACCTCACCCTTTTCCAACTTGGCTTGCCATGTCACTTATGACCTTCTCAACAGAGGGGGCCTGAGGAGAGAAGGTGAAGTGCAGCACTCCTACATTTATCAAATGTTAACGTTTCGCCAAGAAGAAGAGTGGGCAGCCCTCACATCCTCAGGTTCTCACACCTTCTGTTCCAAACTACTTACCTCTATCCTTTGCTCTCTATAACTCCTGACCCATCTCTGAACTTCTTGGATCTAGACTTGTCTCTTATTTACACCTCGATACCCATCCTCATGCCCATCAGTTTATGCTGGACCATAAGCTCAGACCAAGTACTTCCTTCCTCAGTCTATGAGCTAACTGACTCCCTAAAAACCATGGCATGTCTTTTCATTTACATGCATAGTACCTGACACATAGTTGACACTCAGTAAATATTTACCAAATGACTCTATGAATATTCCCTGTTTTCAGGAGTTGTTTAATTTTTTTTTACTCATAAAAGAAAGCACAAATATTGCAATTCACAAATATTACAAATAATAACCAAGACAAACAATTATTATTATTGGGTGAATCTTGTTGTAATTACCAACCAGAAGCTACTGTTCTGACCTGTACAGAAATCTCTTCTTTGCATTTTTTGTTTTTATTACTCTCATGAACATCTCCTAGACACATTCTTAATAATTTGATATCTTTGAAATCTCATTTAATCTATAGATTATTCCTCTGTTCTGTTATTTTTCTTTCTTTTTAAAAATGAAGTTTATTGTGTATATTCAAGTTTATAGCATGATGCTATGATAGTAAAATTGTTACCATAGTGAGGCATATTACCATATCTATCATCTCATATCATTATTTTATTAGTGACAAGAACAGCTAAATTCTACTTATTTAACAAAAATCCTTAATACAATAAAATTTTAAACTAGAGTCCTCATTTTATACATTAAATCTCTAGACGTATTCATTCTATCTGCTAGGTTGTATCCTCTGACCTGCATCACCCCATTTCCTCCTAAGCCTTTTGTTTCAGTATCTCCCTGTATTTCTTAAAAACGGATTCCACATATAAGTGATCTCATACAATATTTTTCTTTTTGTGTATGGCTTATTTCACCTGGTATAATATTCTCCAAGTCCATCCAGGTTGTACCAAACGCTATGATCTTCCCTTTTAAGGCTGAATAGTACTCCACTGCATGTACATACCACATTTTATTTATCCATTCACCTGTTTATGTACATTTCCATTGTTTCCATACCTTGGCTATTGTGTATAATGCTAGAGTGAACACGTAGTGCAGATATGTTTAGAAAAGTGCTGATTTCTTTTCCTTTGGGCATTCAAATGTTTTCTTTGTAGAAATTTCTGTTTAGGTCTTTTATCCATTTGCTAATTGTATTATTTGTTTTGTGTTAATAAGTTCTAAGAATTCTTTATCAGTTTCACATATGAAACCCTTATCAGACATGTGGTTTGCAAATATTTTTCACAGCTCATAGGTTGCCATCTAATTTGTTGATTAATTCCTTTACTGTGCAGAAGTTTTTTCTTGTCATTTATCCATTGAAGAGCCTGGGCCTTTGACCTCCTTAGCAAAGAGCTCCAAGGTTGCTTTTTTTTCTGTTTTGACAATAATCATAGCTCTTAGGTAGAGATGTAAGAACCTAAAGGAGGCCATGATGGTGATTTTGCATAATTTAGCATCCAGATTGCATGACATCCTATTTGAGTTCCTGTGTGATTATTCTTTTTCTTTTCTGCCCACACACCAGCCATCCAGCTCTGCTGAACTACTCACACAGAGCTTTTCCATCTTGATGCCTTTGCACAAGCTCCTTTCTCTGCCCTGCCAGTCTCAGTTTAGCTACCACTTCTTCCTGGAAGCCTCCCCAGACCACTGATCTCACAGAGATGTCTCTTTTGTTTGTTCTCATAGCATCTTGGTTTTCCCTATCATAGCACTTATCTCACTGACTGAAATTGTCTGCTTATCCATCTGCCTGCTTCCCCTGCTCAAGACTGTGTGCGGTAGGGCCTGTGGCTTGCTCAGCTTGGCTTCCCCAGTATCTATCTGCACAGTGTCCTGCATATTAGTAGGCTATTGATAGTTTCACTGTTGAGTGAATGACACAAAAACTTATCTATCATTCTCCCTCTTGCACTGAGAGCAGTTAACATGAAATTCGTTTCTGTGCTTAGTTCAACATCCTCTTTTGGAACCATTTTTTGGTAAATGCAACAGAGTTCCTCTTCACATTTCCCCACCAAAGTGACCTTTGGAAAGTTTGGGGTACCTCAGCCCATCATGGATACTTTTGTCAGCAGGCACACATGACTTATTTCAACTCCACTTTGCCCTAGTTGATGTCAAAAACCCAAGTTTCCCACCTTTTGTGCTTCTAACCCCAGAGCAATACAAGTTTATTAAGTCATTCATTTTTCTTTGCCTCTTAGGTAATCTCCATGAGCATACAAACATACTATTATTTCTTTTGTCTTAAAAACATAGACTTAACCACACTGCCTTTTCCAACCCCTGAGGGCCAAACCTCTTCTCAGAGCTTTATATTCCTGTAAAGGCAGAACCAAGTTGGGGTTTACCTGCCCTAACCCAACATAGAGTGGCTGACCTCCTTCTGTTCACTGCCCCTTGCCATGACCTCAAAAGGAATTTTTGTTCTGAGGCATACTCATGGGTCTTTTGTAACAATTGACCTTTGCTTTCACTTTTCATTGCTTCTTTGGATTCTCTGCCACCTCAGATCTCACGTTGTCTGAGCAGGGAGGAAGTTGAGAACACTCCAACTGTCTTTTTCTTTTTCCTGGGCCTCTTGGTAAGAGCTGGTGGGCTTATAAAAGTGTCAGGCACAAATTAATCTAGAGATACAAAAGACTTCCTGTCCCATTGGTCACCATGCCTTCTGGCAGAACCCCGTACTTCCTGCTGTCACACATGCCACTGCATGGGAGAGAAAACCACAGACCTATAAATCTCTCCCCTGGCGTTTGCCAACTGCAAAATTGAGTTTCCAGTTGAAGAAAGACTTGCTGTTGGTCTGTTACCCTTCTCTATGCCCAATTCCCAATTGAGGCTACAGCAGACAGTAAGCACAATCCATGCAGGCTGGTCCAGTGGCATATAATGAGAGAGGGGTTCCTAAATATAAGAAGATGGGGAACTCAAAAAGGCTCTTTACTTCCTTCTCCAAACTGTGGGAATGAATTTGCATTGCTAAACTCTCCAAAAGTGACCCTTCCTCAAAAGCATTCAATAAAGCAGACATAAGACAGGCCCTCGTCCTTTAATACAAAGTATCTCATTATTGGAATGGCTGATTTGCTTCTTTCCTACTATCCTTGTCACAACATATGTTCTTGGCAGAGTCCAAGAAGTAGGAGAAGTTAGTCTGGTAATTCCTTGTTGAATTGCTTCTGCAGGCCTGGCGCAAACGCTGGTTTGTGCTCCGGCGGGGACGCATGAGTGGCAATCCTGACGTCTTGGAGTACTACCGGAACAAGCACTCCAGCAAGCCAATACGTGTGATAGACCTCAGCGAGTGTGCTGTGTGGAAGCATGTGGGCCCCAGCTTTGTTCGGAAGGAATTTCAGAACAATTTTGTATTCATTGTCAAGACTACTTCCCGTACATTCTACCTGGTGGCCAAGACTGAAGAAGAAATGCAGGTGTGGGTGCACAGCATCAGTCAGGTCTGCAACCTTGGCCACATGGAGGGCAGTGCAGGTAAGAGCAGAGTTGGTGTCTTGTGTGCTAAGGGGTGGCCTGGGATGCCGTGCCCATTGGAGAAGCTAATGCAGAAAAATGTTGAAAGGTGCCAAGCCTTTCTCCTTGAGGGAACTTTAGCTAATTTATATCAGAGGTATTCCTACTTAATTCAGTACAATAGTGGAAATTGCCCTCTTTCACCTAATTCTAGGATTCAGGTCCAAATATGAAAGGCAGAGCCTGTCCATACACTGAGCATTCCAGGTCTCTGCAGGGAAAATAAGCTATAAGTTTTCTCTGATCCATTTCAGGGCTATGGAAGAAATTGACCCAGGAGGAGCCCCCCCCACACACACACACACATACACACACTTTACCCTTCCCATGTAATATGCCAGATATAACCTAGGATCATAATTCCCTTCCCGTCATAGATTTTGTTGTTGAGCTCTCATTTATTGCTCCATGCTCTGATCCTGAAAATATGTTATTCAGAATTTCCTTTTAGCTTCTTTGTCTAGTAGACAAAATTTTGCCCCTAAATCCTCTGGTCTACAGTTGCTTCAACATTTCAGTAGTCACTTTCACCATTTGCTACTGAAATATCTACATTGTAACACTAGGTGGCGATGGACAGTCAGAGTTAGGTCTTACTCTACCTCTACCGCCTTCTCTAAGGACAAAGTCCTTTTCTTTTCACGAATTGGAGAAGCTTATTTATTGAGTGAGGCTATTGAATAACATTGGTGAACTTTGAGAGTGCTCAAGTAACAGGAAATGAAATGATGGTAAGTTCTTTATCCTTGGTATAATAGGTAAAGCTTACTTGCAAAGTCTGTTTCACATCCAAGAGTTACCCCAGTGACCCAAGAGGAACAGGAGTAAGTTAGATACCAGACAAAAATCAGAAAGCCTGCCCTGGTATGAGGTTCAAGGAAGCCGAAAGCCAGAAACCTCCTCTTTCACACTCTTGGCTTTTATGAGAATATGAGGACAGAGTCCACTTCATTTGAAAACCATGGCAGAGTGACTTTCTTGTGGCTTTTCACATATAATAATCCTCCTTTTTCTGTGGGAGGTACATTTCAAAGACCCCCAGTGGATGCCTGGAATTGCAGATAATAGCAAACCATACACATACATACATGCACCATTTTTCCTATATATACATACACAAGTTTAATGCCTTTTCCATCTTTTTTAAATTTTTATTTTTTAGTTGTAGTTGGACACGTTACCTTTATTTTATTTATTTATTTTATGTGGTGCTGAGGATCGAACCCAGTGCCTCACACATGGTAGGTGAGTGTTCTACCACTGAGCCACAACCCTGGCCCCGCCTTTTCCATCTTAACTAAGCACTTATATACTATGATCATGACCATAACTTTTGCAGTTTGAGGTGCAACAGCAAAACTAGTACAGATTCATGTTCCAGGAGCACAGAATGATATGATATTTTATTATACTATTCAGAATATCCCACAATTGAAAACTTATGAATTTTGTATTTCTGGAACTTTCCATTTAATATTTTCAGACCAAGGTTGACTGCAGGTAACTGAAACTGCAGAAAGTGAGGGCTGGGGATGTGGCTCAAGTGGTAGCGCGCTCGCCTGGCATGCATGCGGCCCAGGTTCGATCCTCAGCACCACATACAAACAAAGATGTTGTGTCCGCCGAAAACTAAAAAATAAATATTAAAAAATTCTCTCTCTCTCTCTCTTTAAAAAAAAACTGCAGAAAGTGAAACAGCAAATAAGGAGGAATGACTACATAGAATTTGGTTTTGTCTTAAGCAACTATAGAATAGTCAACACACTGTGTGTGTCCTGGCTAGTAGCTCTGTTAAAATGTTTTTGCATATTAAGTTATCTTATCCCCTTACTGGTTCTATGGCATATGTGTTATCATGTCCACTCTACAGAGAAAGAAACTTGAAGAAGGCAAATTGTAACATGCTCAAGGTCCCAATGGCCAGGTAGTACAGCTTAGAGGCAGTTCAGGGTCACTCTGACTCAGGAATCCTGCACTACCAACTTGGCTCAAAGGAAAAATAAATGTAGGCTTTCATTGGTCTTTTCTGATCTGAAGGTCTTATTGGCTCCTGATCCAAATTCATCTTGAGGGCCATATTCTTAAGTGATGGGAGAATGTTAGACTCCTTGAGTAACACAGGCTTTTGCAGTTATCACAACAACGTGTTTTGTCACTTCCCTTTACATCTAACAATTATTAGCATGATTCTTAATGTAAATGTTATTTGTCTGTCTCCTCTGCTAGAATGTGAACTCCAGTAAGGGCAGAGCCTTTGTCTCAGCTGCTTGATGAGGGTTAGAACAATTCTGGTCACGTAGTATGTGCAATAGCAGGGATTATAGATAGATAGACATAAGTACATACATGCATAAGTGCATATGTAAGTATATACATATAGATTTGTTATGCATAAATACATATATGTGTATATTTGTTGGGTAGATAAACAGTGATACAGGGCTGCTGTGTAGGGCCATAAAAAAGCAGTTTGTAGACTATCTGCAGAATTTTAGGCCAAGAATACTTGGGTTTTTTTTTGTTTTGTTTTGTTTTGTTTTTACTCTTAATGGATTCAACACTTTATTCTTGGAACATTGGCCTTCTTTCCCAGACATTGTTTATAGCTTGGGGAAATGGTCTCTTCCATCAGTACAAACACCAGCTGTGATTTGCATCTTCTATTTGGCTTCTTAGATGCTGTTTGAGAAATTTCAAGTGAATGTTATAGCCATTCTTAAAACACTAACCTGGGAAATGATTTAATCCAGCAGATTCCATGGAGAGCCTCTCTTACATGCCCTCCTCCCTCCAACCATCCTCTGCCAACTCCCTTCATACTGTCCATGCTGCCAGCTCCTCCTTGCCAAGAGATGACCCAAACACTAATACCATAGCCACTGAGGAAACCAGAAGTGAGTCAGAGTTTCTCTTCCTTCCTGATTATCTGGTTCTGTCCAACTGTGAGACTGGAAGACTGCACCATGCCAGGTATGCTTACACCTGGGCCTCTGAGCCCTATCTCCTAGCATGCTGTCCTCTGTTCACAGAGCCCACACTGCCTTCTCCTGCAGAATCTGTCTCTGAGATATACTCAATGTGCCTTCAAATCAGTCTGTTTAGTGGGAGTGTTTCCTAGTGGGTGTGTCTGCTCTCACCTCTCTTCTTGCCAGTGCTAAGGTATGGACAGATCACTATCAGCCACTATGAAAGATGAAGCATGCCAGATACTAAACAAAATGACTCATACATTTCAGCATTGTGGCTTTCATTTCTAACCTTACATTTTCATATGTATCTGATGCTTACAGGATGAAAAAAAATAATAAACTTTTTTTTTTTTTTTGCATCAAAGGGTTGCTGCAAAAATCCTGAGCATTTTAGAGGGAATGTAGCTCTACAAGTAGAACAAAAGCTGGTATTGGAGGAGTGGGAATGAGGCTAGCATGGGTTTTGTGGTGGGTGGTTGGCTACATTTCAGTCAAACTTAACATGTTTTTCTTCCCTCAGTCTTCCCACCAGATGTGATAGCTGGTCAAACTCAGACCGCTCACTGGAACAGACTTCATTTGATGATGTTTTTGTTGATGGCCTGCAGCCACTACCCTCCAGTAACTTGGTCCATTTCTCACGCCATGGGAATGGATCTCAGGAGGCATCTTCCATGAGGTCCCAGGCTATTATGATCTGGAATAGAGAAATCAATGGGCCTTCCAGGGACCACTTGTCTTCTTCCTCATTGCTGGAAACATCCTTAAATTCCACCATTCAAGTAGAAAAAAGTCAACTTTCCTTGCCCTGCGCAGCAAAACAACTAGATGTATCCAACACTCCACCTCCCCGCCCTCCTAAACCAAGCCATTTCTCTGAACGGCGCCAAGAGGAGCAGCACCTGTGGAGTGGGCACAGCACCAGCAAGAAACCAGAATGCACTCTTGTGCCAAGAAGAATCTCTCTTTCTGGTTTAGACCACATGAGAACCTGGAAAGGTAAGAGTCAGATCCTAAGATTCAGGTACAGAGAAAAATTTGGACTTCCCTGCCTGGATCCTTGTCACACCTTGTGTCCATATGAGGACTTTTCCCACTTTCCTTGCTCAAACCAGTCTTATCTCCTAATGGAGACCTTGGAGGAAGTGCACAGCTGGAGGGCAGCACTGTCCTGATTCTGGGTCCCCGACCCCCTCCTTTGAATTTGGCTTCCAGAGATATTTAGATTGTCATAAAAGATAAAAAAAGCTGGAGCCCTGGTCCCTTGAGATTGGCTTGCCTATGTGAGTCCTTGACCATGTAGTAGGCCTTCCACCTGAGACTGAGCTTCTGATGTTTGTTTGGGTCACTTGGGGACACACTTGGGGTCTCTGTAGCCTTCAGAAGGTGCTCAATGCAAGTCCACACAGCATCCTCAGTGTGGCTTTTTGGTACCTCTTCTTTACTAGCTTCTCTGGATTTCTTCATCTTCCTGCATGAACTGACCAACCTAAGCCTTTCCTTCATGTCAGCCCATCTCTCAGACAGACAACAAAAACTCTCACTGTTTCTCTCCATTTATCCAAATGTAATCACCCACACACCACACTATCTACCAAGGCTATGTTTTAAAGGAATTACAGAGAGTACAAAGAATGCAAATTCATTTTGAAATCTCTCATTCTGACTGAGGAAGTCACTCTGACACAGACCTCCTTCAGGGTTCCTAGAGATGTGATCATTATACACTTCACTTCCTTCTGACAATGCCTGTTAAATGGATATATGCCAATCACACAACAGGTCTTAATGTGCTAATGTGTGAACAGTGACAAAAGTAAAAATGAAAGAATAGGTAAGCATATGTTATAATGTGAAATGAATAAAGTCAGTAGAATAATGGAGTATGAAAATGAACCAATAGTCTGAGATTTAAGAATAAAATGAAGTAATTTGATATGTCAGTATGAACACAAATAGCTAGGTTGTGTTCTTTTACATGACAGCAAACAAAGATTAAAACTAATTAAAATAGGATTTTGACCATGAAACAAACACCAAAACAACAGGGATGAGTAAAAGCAGGGGAACGTGTAAAGCTTATTGTTCTACCTCTCTGATGCTGAGTACAGGTCCCTGGGGTGTACAAGGACTTAGATTCTAATTTCAGTTGATGTTTTCCTGCAGTTCTCACCAGTCTGACTTGTTTCTTGCAGCTGAGGTAGAATGCCAATCCTTAAGACACCGAGACAAGCGGCTTAGTTTAAATCTGGTAAGTTTGACACTTGGGTTCCTTCAAGACTCAATTTAATCAAAAGTAGCCTGACTCATATATGATCCTTTTTTTCCTTTTTCTTTTTTTGTGGTGCTAGGGATTGACCCCAGGGCCTTGTGCATGTGAGGGAAACTCTCTACCAACTGAGCTATATCCCCAGCCCAATATATGTTCCTTTCAATTCTTTTGATATTCAGCAATCTGAATCTCTGAGAACCTTTCTAGTCTCTCTTTAAGACTTGAACTGGTTTGGGAACTTCTGAACTCTGTGTTCCATAAGGGCTCTGATGTTTTTAATTAAAATATCATACCAAAAATATTTGTATGAATTCATAACTCTCAGTCTTCCACCATCAGATCTAGGAGATTATCACCAGTACTCACACATTAGGTCCAGAGGCAGATCCTTGGGTAGAGGCTTTTCTAACTTTCCTGAGGAAGTTCAGAGTCATTCTTGGGTAATCTGAAACTAAAACCATATGCATAGCCTTGATGTCCACTGGTGGTGGTTTCCATGACCTGTTTTCTTGCAGCCCTGCAGGTTCTCCCTGATGTATCCCCCAGCTTCAACCAGTGCCGAAGACAGCTATGTGCCCATGAGCCCCCAGGTCATTGCCTCTGGTCTTGGACCCCATTGCAGCCAGGATGACTACATCCCTATGAGCTCAGGAAGCATCTCAAGCCCACTGCCTGAGCTACCTGCAGACTTAGAGCCTCCACCAGTGAATAGAGATCTCAAACCTCAGAGGAAACGTAAGGCACTTAAATAGGCCTGCTGTGTAAAAAAGGGGAGCAAGGTCCTTCCTAACTTTTCTTGGGAAGGAAGCACTAGAAAAACCATGTCAGAGAGCTGCAAAACATAAGGATATGAAAGAAATGGCTGGAATAGAATGGGGAGATTGAGGGCACCTGCTGCTGCAGATTGTCATGATAAAGGAATCAGAGAAATTGTAGGTACTGTGGACCAGCAAATGCATCCTACAAAGCTAAGTTCATTCCAGAGAGCTCATCTTTGTCTGTTTCCCTAATAAAGTCCCAGGGATATGTGATGATGGGTCTGAATGGAACCCACCTGACATCTCCTCATTCATGCAACACTAAATGTAATAACAGTGCCAGCCTTATGGAAGGCAGCCAAGAATGACCTTTGACACCAATTCCTTAATATCCTTCATGGTCAAATATTATTTATCACTCACTGCTCTGTGTATGCCCATCAGCACAGGTGATTGGGGATGGGAGAGAACTTCTATAATTATCAGTCTGACTCCTGTGTGCACAGGGCACCTTGTAGCTCCTGTATGAATATAGCAGCCTCTCTGGTATGCTCAGCAGCATGGACAGACAGAAAAATTGAAGATAGAAAGAGAAAAGGCAGGGTGAAGTAATTTCAGTTTTACCCACCCTCACCTTCCCAGTAGATTATGTGATTTTAAGAAATCATTTGGTGCAATGACTCTGAGGTCTGATATTCTATCTGGTCTGCTCATACCTTTAATTGCTTTTGAGTAAAACTGTCACTTCAGGTGTCCATGCCCAAAGCTGCTAACTAAGGTTCCTACTCATGCCTTCTCTGTTCCAGTCAGATACACTTGAGTCTGAGTCAGACCACATTTGCACTTTTCACAGCATTGGCCATGGGTACAGCACTGTGCCTGGGGAGGATGCAAAGATGAGAGGCAGATATGTAAAAACCATCTAGAGGGAAAGGCAGAATTATGAAGTCAGTACTAAATAGGAGAACAGACCCTGTCTTATGAGGTGCAGAGGAAATAGCCTGTCCATTCTGGCCAGAAACAATTTCACAGGGACTTGTAACTTGAAAGTATGTATTATTGTTTTGCTCAATTAATTTTCTATAGCAGTGCCATTGACCAGAACTATCTGTGATAATGCAAACATTGCTATTGAACATTTGCAATGAGAATGGCGAGGCAGAGGAACTTAATTTTATTTTTATTAAATTTCAATAAATTTATATATATTGTGGTGTAAATAACCATGCATGGCTGCTGGTCACTATTTTCAGCAGTGCAGTCATATAGAGAATGGCAGAAAGAAGATGTTTGATAGGCTTAGGATTGGATATTTAGCAGGTAGGTGCAAAGATAGACAGCTGGGCCAGGAGGGGTTGGTTCTGGGATGATCTTTGCACCCAGGTGGGAAAGGGCAAGTGGTGAAGCCAGGAGATAGCTGGTGGGTGAACCCAACACCTAGATGTCATGCTTCCAGGAGAGACCTTCCCCACAGGGACTTCATGACTCATGTGAACTTTCCAGCCCAGACCATTTGCTAGGTAGCAGACCTTACTCACATGGAGTCAGAGAAGAGTAAGATAGTGAAATTCACAATCACTATCAGTGCTTTCTCTTGGCAAGTTTGGATCTGCTGTGCCAGGAAAAGAAAATGTCATGGTTTTACACTCTTTGGATTATGGCTTTGAATTTCTAAGAACTAATCATACTGTGTATTGTCTTGTAGCACGGCCACCTCCCCTGGACCTGAGAAACCTCTCCACCATCCGGGAACATACATCTTTAACCAGGACCCACACGGTGCCTTGGTAAACCACTGATTGTTAAAGGAGCCTAGACATATCCAAACTTAATTAGGTTTCTTATTGTTGATGCCCATTTGATCTTGCCTAAGCTAAAGGACAACCTGGTTTATTATCAAGAGCTAAAGATGACTTACATATCACAAAGGAAGGAATATGACTGGGTTTCTTGGGATACTGGAATCAGGAATTGGAGTGCTATCGAGAACTCAAGGCATCTTCTCTCTTCTCTCACATTTACCTCTCCATTCATATCTGCTTATCTCTTTGTCTTTGTAGAGCTATTTTCTTTGTTGCATAATTTCTATGGCTAAAGATAGTGGTACAATAGCTCCTGAGCTTATTTATATGCCTCAATTCCAGTGCTAACAGAGATGAGCTCTTTATCAATATCAAGTCAGATTTTGTGAGAGGACAGAATTATGTTGCCCAGCCAAAGTGGAATCAGTTATGGCCCAGGGGGCAGAGCCAGTACTACCAGCTGAACTTCCAGAAGTTCAACTTTGTGAGTGGTTCACAGGTTGGATAGACAAGCTCAAAAATGTATCTGTACCTTTTATGAGTTGAATTTTCAGAGTCCTGAGGCTAGCCCTAGGGTTTCCTAGTTCAGTCTAAATGCCATAAGACAATCACTTTGTGAATCAGAATTGCACAGGGAGGTGTATTTCCAGGCAAAACTTCAGAGACAGCTTGTGCTTCTGACTCAGGAGTAGAATTGAAGGTGATTTACAGTTCTTGTTATCCTATCAAAAAGGAATGGCAACACTTTCTTACTTTTCCTAGTTTCTTTGGAAACAAAAGGGTCACAGAGAAGTATTTTTTGCTAAATGATATGATGCCTTGGTCTGTTTCTAGTAAGTTCATGACCTATGTCATATGGAGGGCCTGGGAAAAAGGAAGTGGGAGCCATTTGCTCCACAAGTGGGACAGAGCTGCTGCACAGTCTCTGTTTCTTTAGGAACTGCTTGGGCCGGAAGGAAATTGTGTCTGGAAGGGGAAGACTGAAGCCCCATGGGGCCATGTCAGTTCCTGGCTGCCTTTCAGAGCAGCTGTAAGACATTGCTTTGACCTCATCTGTATTTTTCTTCTTAGCAATCGAACCAGCTTTCTCTCTCCAGAAAGAAATGGTATTAATCCTACAAGATTTTTTGCCAGTCCTGTTTCCAGAGAGGAGGAAGAAAACTACATCCAAATGGTAATCCTATATTTTCACATTCTTTTACTTATCCCAGTATATATACTCTTGTGAGTTTATTATAAAGAAAACACATCCCTCAGAAATCTCTGCAAACATAAAACAATTACTTGATTGTAAAACCATGTCATAACTTTTCTAGATTGGAAACAAATCAATTTGAAGCTGTTTTTTTTTTATTTCTGCAATATTCAGCTAATCATACTATTTTAAAGCCACACTATTCAGAAGAACGTAGGGTTCAGGCCTGTATTATGGGGAAGGGAAGATGCTAGCAATTTCTTTCACCAGGGATGTGGGTGTCATGGTTGAATCCAATAGGTTGGTTTGTGATCCCCTGGATGTCAGAGTCTAGGCTGTAAAATACAAATAGTACATGCTTCCTTTTACTAGAACACCTGCCTCCAAATCTTCCTGGTGTGTTGTAGCCCCTGGAAACTCTCCTCTGTAGGGTATTTCCATAGACCTGACAACTCTATCTTTTGATTAACCCCACAATTCAAGAGTTACAATGTCTCCCTTTTGCCCTATTGTCTCTTCTGTTCTCTTCACCTTGGGGTCTATTGAGAGTGTGGGGTTTTGAAGATGCTTTTAGTACCTCTGGCTATTAATGGACACTTTAACAACAATTGTGCCCATTCTGCAATTTGGAAATGTAGGGAACTCTAGAGAGAACTTCTGTATGAACTATGAAATTAAAATGAATTATTGGTACATTAGAAACCGCCACCCGTGCCCACAGGGTGAGCAGACCTGTGACCAACCTGCAGATCAGGCACAGCGGTCCGCAGGCGTGGTAGGAGGGGCAGGGCAGAGCCGCCGCCCGCGCCTGCAAGGTAGGCAGACCTGCGACAGACCGGCGGATCAGGCCCAGGAGCCTGCCGGCGTGGTAGCAGAGTCGCCGCCCGTGCCAGGAACAGGCCCAGCGACCTGCCGGTGGGGTAGTCACGACACCCCAGTTGGAGTAGGGGCAGAGCAGAGCCACCACCCGTGCCCGAAAGGTGGGCAGATCTGCGACCGACCAGTGGGACAGGCCCAGTGGCCTGCCGGTACGACAGACACATCACCCCATTTGGAGTAGGGGCAGAGTAGAGCTGCCGCCCGCGCCTGCAGGGTCGGCAAACCTGCAACCGACTGGCGGATCAGGCCCAGTGGCCTGCCGGCGTGGTACACTCGTCACCCCAATTGGAGTAGGGGCAGAACAGAGCTGCCGCCAGCGCCCAGAACAGGCCCAGTGACCTGCCGGCGTGGTAGTCACGACACCCCAATTGGAATAAGGAGAGAGCAGAGCCGCCGCCCGCGCCTGCAGGAAAGAAACGCAAGCAGTATGAAAAGACAAGGAAAGAAAGGACCACAAGCAATGCAGGTCAACGCAACTTTAGAAGAGGTAACAGCTGCAGCAGATGGAATGTCAGATAAAGAATTCAGGATATACATGCTTCAGATGATCTGGAGTATCAAGGAAGACATTAAACTGCAAAATCAGACAATGAAAGATCACTTCGACAACGAATTACACAAACAAATCCAGGAAGCAAAGGATCAACTATACAGGGAGATAGAGGTTATAAAAAACAAACAAACAGAAATCCTAGAAATGCAGGAAGCAATAAACCAACTTAAAAACTCAATGGAGAATACTACCAGCAGAGTAGAACACTTAGAAGATAGAACATCAGACAATGAAGACAAAGTATTTCAACTGGAAAAGAACATAGACAGCTCAGCAAGACTGTTAAGAAACCATGAGCAGAACATCCAAGAAATATGGGATAACATTAAGAGACCAAACTGAAGAGTCATTGGGATACAGGAAGGTACAGAGCTCCAAACCAAAGGAATGAGCAGTGTATTCAATGAAATAATACAAGAAAACTTCCCAGACTTGAAGAATGAGACAGACTCCCAAATCCTAGAAGCCTACAGGACGCCGAATGTGCAAAATCATAAGAGATCCACACCTAGACACATTATAATGAAGATGCCCAACATACAGAATAAGGAGAGAATTTTAAAAGCTACAAGAGAAAGGAAGCAGATCACATTTAGGGGTAAGCCAATCAGGATAACAGCTGATCTTTCAACACAGACTCTGAAAGCTAGAAGATCCTGGAATAACATATTTCAAACACTGAAAGAAAATGGGTTCCAACCAAGAATTGTGTTTCCAGCGAAATTAAGCTTCAGGATGGAAGATGAAATTAAAACCTTCCACGATAAACAAAAGTTAAAAGAATTTGCAGCTAGAAAACCATCTCTTCAAAACATCCTTGGCAAAACATTACAGGAAGAGGAAATGGAAAATAACAATGAAAACCAACAGTGGGAGGTAGGACAGTAAAGGGGGGAAAATAATCAAAGAGGAAAACAAACCATGTTTAGTAACAGAAATAAACAAATATGGCTGGAAGAACAACCCACATCTCAATAATAACCCTAAATGTTAATGGCTTAAACTCGCCAATTAAGAGACACAGGCTAGTAGAATGGATCACAAAACAAGACCCAACAATATGCTGCCTACAGGAGACGCATTTGATAGGAAAAGACATACATAGGCTGAAGGTGAAAGGTTGGGAAAAATCATATCACTCATATGGACTTTGGAAACAAGCAGGAGTGTCCATACTCATATCAAATAAAATAGATTTCAAGCCAAAGTTAATCAAAAGGGATAAAGAGGGACACTACATACTGCCTAAGGGAACCATACACCAACAAGACATAACAATCATAAATATTTATGCCCCAAACAATGGTGCAGCTATGTTCATCAAACAAACTCTTCTCAAGTTCAAGAGTCTAATAGACCACCATACAATAATCATGGGAGACTTCAACACACCTCTCTCACCAATGGACAGATCTTCCAAACAAAAGTTGAATAAGGAAACTATAGAACTCAATAACACAATTAATAACCTAGACTTAATTGACATATATAGAATATACCACCCAACATCAAGCAGTTACACTTTTTTCTCAGCAGCACATGGATCCTTCTCAAAAATAGATCATATATTATGTCACAGGGCAACTCTTAGACAATATAAAGGAGTAGAGATAATACCATGCATCTTATCTGATCATAATGGAATGAAACTGAAAATCAACGATAAAAGAAGGAAGGAAAAAGCATACATCACTTGGAGAATGAACAATAGGTTACTGAATGATCAATGGGTTATAGAAGACATCAAGGAGGAAATTAAAAAATTCTTAGAGATAAATGAAAACACAGACACAACATATCGGAATCTATGGGACACATTGAAAGCAGTTCTAAGAGGAAAATTCATTGCTTGGAGTTCATTCCTTAAAAAAAGAAAAAACCAACAAATAAATGATCTCACACTTCATCTCAAAATCCTTGAAAAAGAAGAGCAAAACAACAGCAAAAGAAGTAGAAGGCAAGAAATAATTAAAATCAGAGCTGAAATTAATGAAATCGAAACAAAAGAAACAATTGAAAAAATTGACAAAACTAAAAGTTGGTTCTTTGAAAAAATAAACAAAATCGACAGACCCTTAGCCATGCTAGCGAAGAGAAGAAGAGAGAGAACTCAAATTACTAACATATGGGATGAAAAAGGCAATATCACAACAGACACTTCAGAAATACAGAAGATAATCAAAAACTATTTTGAATCCTTATACTCCAATAAATTAGAAGATAGTGAAGGCATCGATAAATTTCTTAAGTCATATGATATGCCCAGATTGAGTCAGGAGGATATAGACAACCTAAACAGACCAATATCAATTGAGGAAATAGAAGAAACCATCAAAAGACTACCAACTAAGAAAAGCCCAGGACCGGATGGGTATACAGCAGAGTTTTACAAAACCTTTAAAGAAGAACTAATACCAATACTTTTCAAGCTACTTCAGGAAATAGAAAAAGAGGGAGAACTTCCAAATTCATTCTATGAGGCCAACATCACCCTGATACCTAAACCAGACAAAGACACTTCAAAGAAAGAAAACTACAGACCAATATCTCTAATGAACCTAGATGCAAAAATCCTCAATAAAATTCTGGCGAATCGGATACAAAAACATATCAAAAAAATTGTGCACCATGATCAAGTAGGATTCATCCCTGGGATGCAAGGCTGGTTCAATATACGGAAATCAATAAATGTTATTCACCACATCAATAGACTTAAAAATAAGAACCATATGATCATCTCGATAGATGCGGAAAAAGCATTCGACAAAGTACAGCATCCCTTTATGTTCAAAACTCTAGAAAAACTAGGGATAACAGGAACATACCTCAATATTGTAAAAGCAATCTATGCTAAGCCTCAGGCTAGCATCATTCTGAATGGAGAAAAACTGAAGGCATTCCCTCTAAAATATGGAACAAGACAGGGATGCCCTCTCTCTCCACTTCTGTTCAACATAGTTCTCGAAACACTGGCCAGAGCAATTAGACAGACGAAAGAAATTAAAGGCATAAAAATAGGAAAAGAAGAACTTAAATTATCACTATTTGCAGATGATATGATTCTATACCTAGCAGACCCAAAAGGGTCTACAAAGAAACTATTAGAGCTAATAAATGAATTCAGCAAAGTGGCAGGATATAAAATCAACACGCATAAATCAAAGGCATTCCTGTATATCAGCGACAAATCCTCTGAAATGGAAATGAGGACAACCACTCCATTCACAATATCTTCAAAAAAAATAAAATACTTGGGAATCAACCTAACAAAAGAGGTGAAAGACTTATACAATGAAAACTACAGAACCCTAAAGAGAGAAATAGAAGAAGATCTTAGAAGATGGAAAAATATACCCTGTTCATGGATAGGCAGAACTAACATCATCAAAATGGCGATATTACCAAAAGTTCTCTATAGGTTCAATGCAATGCCAATCAAAATCCCAATGGCATTTCTTGTACAAATAGAGAAAGCAATCATGAAATTCATATGGAAAAATAAAAGACCCAGAATAGCAAAAACAATGCTAAGCAGGAAGTGTGAATC